GGAAGTCCAAGAAACTCAGTATGAAATTATATGAACCATTCGTGATTTGGGGAAACCAAAGAAATCGTTCCTACAAACTCAATATTTCGGATCAATAGAAGATACACCCAGTATTCCATGCATCTCTATTAGAGCCTTACAGAGAGTCGATAAGTGCAGATCGACAACAACCTCTCAGAGAACCTGTGGATCTTGAAGGCTACTTACAATAGGAAATAGTGAAAGTTGTAAGAAGCGAGATACACTCTTTGTGAAAGAAAGTAAGTGCTGACTATCAGGAGGTACATGAATTATAGTACTGTATTAAAGGGTAAGGTTGTTCCAAAGATGAGAACACTGAGGAACCTGCTACAGGCATGGATAATACAACCAAAATAGTGGAAGAATTCCACCAGGATATGATAATCCAAAAATGGTATGACAGGCAGAGAAGAAAGGATAAAGAAATGGTTTTCCTACTGTGGCCAAGCAAATGCAGAAGGTTTTTCACCCTATTCTCACCAGGTCCCAAAGGAGCTCATGTTTAAGGTTTAATAATTTATTGTTTTAATTTAATTTGTAATTTGTAATTTATTTTATATATACCCAAAAGGTATTTCAGGGTAAAGCCTTAAGAGGAAGGAGCTCATATTAGTAATACCTGGATCCGATACCAAGGAATCACCCTAAGTAGGATAACCACCTTTTGAATCGAAATCCCTAGTCCCCAACATCCCCCTTCGGCTCTCTTATATGACTCGCATGTCATTATACATATCAATCTCAATTACATCCTGTGACTATAATACCACAGAAATGAAGATGTCAGAATAACACTATATACATTGTGGCCTTCCAACCAACTGGATCCTGTTCGCAGGACATATGGGAAGAGACCTTCAGCTAGGTCTGGGAAGTGGAACAGAGTGAATCCATTAACTACTCAGAGAGCTACTGAGCTTTAAAGATATAAAGTCTTTGGCATGTGTGGTACGTAACAGGGCATTTTCTCACGAAGAGATGGTATCAAATAATAAAGAATCTCAACAAGAGACCAATACATTTACATCTACCCTACAATAACTAAAAGAGTCTATAACTCTGAAGGACACTACCATAGAAGCCAATAGACTTCACCGAGAGCTACAACTAGGTTTCGGAACATGTTGTAGCTGTGGGGATGACTAACCATCTTACAACAGTGATTGAAACCCTATTACCCAAAGCAACCAAGGATTGCCGACTGAGAGATTATTTATCAATCCAGTGGAATAGCCTCCTGCGAATTGGTAGGAAGTGCTCCAGAAGATACCTATCTGTTAGGTAAGGAGTTATGAAGGTTTGAAGTGAGGCAACTTAGAAAGATTACGATTACAACTACCTTCGCAAATACAACCCGCAGATGAAACTGATCATTTCATCAATGACAGTGACAATTGGAGCCAACTCAATTTGACTTGAGAACTAAGCTATAAGTTTAAATACTCTAATAATCAGATAATTACTATTGGGAATGGTATGGTTCTTTATTAGTTATATCGTAATTGCCAAAGAGGGTGTGGTGATTTCTAGGGTCTCCAGGTGTTCGCATCTATTAAGAATACCTGATATTACGAGTTATAATCAGAGTGGTACATAGTTATATAATAAATAGATATAGTCTCCAAACACTCAGATGTGGAATATAAATATCGAAGTGCCTCTCAAACTTTAGACATCATCAAGCAGCAGAGAAGAGACCTTAACAATATAATATTTTCTTTACAATTCAATTCTACTTTACCTATTTTACTTCACTCTTAGTAGTCATAAACGAAACGAGTGAAGTGCAAGCCTTCCTAGACAATCTCCACCTACAGAGACGATTTTTGATTGGCCTAGACAACTTTGAAGTTTATCAGATTGTCTCCGCCTAACAGTAATACTCTTCAATTACCTTCCAAGTCTTCTTTAATTATGGTTTACTAATATGGATTTGCAAACCCCCCTGTACCAGAAAATAAGTGAACACTTAAAACTCGGTAAAGAGAGATGACCAATGTTAATAAAGGGATGATAATTGCCTTTTTCTCCTGCCTCAGGAATATTGTCCTTGTTGCTCATCCTCCTTATTCCCCTGTTTCAAATTCTATTAAGCATGTATAGGTTGAGCTCAAAAAGTACTTTCACCAGCAGTATCTAAGGATTAGAGATACTTCAGAAGGAAAGGAAGCTGTTAAGAAGAGTCTAGTACATACTCCCTATAAGGAAAGGAAGCTGTTAAGATGAGGCTAGCACATGTATTGCTGGTAGATTGGGAGATAATTTCTGAGGAGCTATTTGAGAAGTTATGGAAATCAATGCCTAATAGGTTAGCTGCTATTTTGGAAGCAAGAGGAGGTTATACAAAGTACTAGCTAATATTATTCTATTTAATTAATTTATTATCATTGGGGTATTGTTGATTGTAGTTAGTTGCTCATTCTTTCGTTTGCAAGCACTCATGGTTGACACAGCAACCCCACTGCCCCACCACCAGTGGCGCAATCGGTAATTAAACATGTCTCGGATCACGAACACTTCTGACAACTGGCTGTAGGTACTTGTATCATACTCGAGTAAGTTACCAGTTCGGACTGCTCGAGCACAGTACGGTACTCGAGTACGAGTACAGGCACTGCAACTGCAATCACAACGTGCTACCCCTGACCTCACTCAGCAGGATACCTCGCTAAGCCGTGGGAATTCTGTGCCTTTTCTTTCTTCTGGGGGCGGGATTCCGTCCCAACCTCCAATTCTTATATTGGAGCGCTTACTGTACCATTTTCCATTCCAATTCGTATATAGTAGAATTGGAATACACCTTACCCCCCTGTTCCTATTAAGGCATTGGGAACGCTCGAACGGGGGAAAGTCGAACCTTGTTTATCATTATTATATCTTAGGAAAATGTTGTCATTTGCGGAATTGACAAAAGAAATATATCTACCACCTATGTCAGGCTTTGCCCCTAAGGCTGGCCCTGAAAGCCAACGATACTCCCAATGATCCCCGCTTAATCTAGGCATAAGGCCATCATAATGGTTTGAAATGCGGCAAAGGCACAAATAACGTTTTTTTTTTTTTTTCAACTTTCTCTCGTTCCTCGAGGGTTTAAAGAAAGTCGCGGCGTACTTGTACAAATTTATTTCACTGGACCGCGTGCCTACGGTACACTTAGAAAGGATTATTCCTAAAAGAGGAAAGGGAAAGAAGGATGAAAACAGTGACCAGGTGATAAACTGGTTAGGCAGTGTCGTGGGTCGCGTGTTTGCCTGCCCTTTGTATCCTATGATAAACGCAAAGGGGGTTGCTCTCCCTGGAGTATTATTACCTGCGATGTTCTATTGATACTACAGCCTAATTTCAAAGCGCGGACATACTGGTAGAGACAATCTATTTTCTCCTACAAGTATCACAAACTTTATTCCTTGGCTGCCCCTGCACTTGATGAAATCCCGAAATTTTGGCCCCCTCCGGCCAAGTTTAGTACTTGGATAGTACCATACCTTTAGACAAGGATACACCTGACACCCAGGACCAGCAAAATAAGCCCCTCGTACTGTGCAACTGTCTAGCAACAACAGCTCACAACAGAGACCAACAGGAAATAGGCGATTACGGTTTTGAATGTTACAGAGGAACTTCCTCGTTCCCCCGTCTCCTGACTTCAACTTGCCTTACCGGTATTCGGCCCGAAAAGGGCCTATCTCTACTCGAGTAGAAGGACGAGATTTTCCCATTGAGTTGTGGGGTAAGTTACCGTACTGGGCTGCACTGGACAGCCAATATGTTATGATATCGCTATCACAAAGGGAGCTGTTTGTGGGGTAGCGTGCGGGTATGATATTTCTATGATCCTAGGGCTGACTCGTCGTAGTGCTGTGGGGAAGGAAAGGGTGTCACCGCCGTTGGGAGCAGAGAAGCACGATAGTGCAAGTCCTGATTTCTTGGTTGTTGTTGGGGAAATAAGAAGAGGTGTGTGGTCTACTGCACTGTACTGCAGGAACCTGGACCTCTCGGAGATTGTGTCTTTCAGTACCTGTCCTTGAGTAGTGGACTGTACTCGAACATCGTAAGAACTCCAATGGTCGGACCTTGCCCTCAGAAGTTAGGCTTGCCTCTCCTAATAAGGTCTAATTCTTCTTTCTCTTTTTTATTTGTCTTGAAAAACAGATTTTTTGGTGTGCTTGCGCCTTTCCGGAAGATTGAATTTGAGACTACCCAGCATAGTCCGTTTATCCAGGTTCCCACGGCAGATGTTACTATATGTCCGAGAGTGCGGTTGGGGTTCCCTTTCTGGCTACCCGAGGGGAAACACAGCAAACTCAACCCTCACTTGAGACAAAAACAAATGAAATATGATATAAACAGTGCTTTGCTAGGAGAGGCAACTACACCGCCCTATCATAGAACATCTATCATCTGTTCAAGTTTTTACGGTACTCGGAAGAGGGATCCGCTTGTTTCTCTCTAACACACCCTAGAATGCACTTTGGTGCTCGGGGTTCAGTGGCAGGCACGGTAGTGCAGCATACGCATTATCACCGCCTTGAGCCAGTATACTCTCTACAATGAATTTCGGAGGTGAAGTGTGTTACGAGAGAAATCGAAGAGAAGGTAGAGACCCGGGGACACGAGAGCATTAGGGAGGTGTAGATCGGGGGTAGAGAGGGTCGATTTCTGATACGGCATCCTTCTATCGTAACCTGTGCCCGGGGCTGCGGCACTTTCACCCATGAGAGGTATCTATATACAATGAAATGAGCCCCAATATCCCAAGCTGAACACACTTCCGTGACATTGAAATAATATTGCAGGAGAACACCGCAACGGTCCGAGTGAAACTCAATGAATCTAGATACATCTCACTAATTCATAAGGCAGACGCCGACCCACACTGGAAAGCGGTGATATCATTATGGATTTACACTATCCCACCAGAGCTTGGCACCGCTCAACACCGCAATTCCAACACCCCGCGGTCGCCCCAAACCGGTAAAGGAAAAGAAAAGGAAAATAACCTCGACCATCAGAATAGGAAAATGAAGACTAAAAGTGGCACGTTTGCCCAGGAGGATCCGTGGGTCAAAAGAAGGAGTGTTTTTTTTCAAGGAGTGCAACGCCCAGTCCAGCGAGGGTAAAGAGAGCACTCTTTAACGGTGTAGCGGTCGCACATCCACGCAAGGAGGCGCTCGAGGCCGATGCCGTAACCACCATGCGGTGAAGTGCCATACCTGTAAACACTCGTTAGTCCTATGGATAGAATGGGGGTCATATGGGGCCAACCAACTTTCTCTGATCAGTGAACCAGTAGTAGGGGTCTGGAGAAATCCCTTCCCTTGCATAGGCACCCATAAGCTCCTCGAGATTCTCCATTCTCATACTACCACCGACAATTTCACCGACACCAGGCATAAGACAATCAACGCTCTCGGTGACCCTAGGGTCCGCAGGGTCTTTCTTCATGTAGAAGGCTTTGATCTTCACGGGAAACTTGGTCAAAAAGATAGGCTTGGCAATTATGTCTGTCATTTTGCGCTCGGCGGCCTCTGCAATATCATCACCAAACTTGTGAGGGTTCCCTTCCTCGTTGGGAATATTATTTTCAACCAACCAGCCAATCGCATCAGCGTAGGTCATACGCATGAATGGCCGCTCAGGGGCTTCAAATTTCGGATTGAGCTCTGCTACCTTTCCCTTAATGAGAGGATCGGTAAGAGCGTAGTTGATGGTACGGCAAATGACTTCCTCAAGGTGGTTGAGGAGATCGTCAAAAGTTATGAAAGCTAGTTCTGCTTCAATGTGGGTGTATTCGCTAAGATGCCTACGGGTGAGAGAACGTTCTGCACGGAAAGACTCCTGAACACAAAAAACATCTCCGAGAGAGGGGAGACAAGTTTCGAGATATAATTGGGATGATTGGGTCAGGTAAGCCTAGGGCGAAACTCAATTAGCTCCAAATCTCGATCGTGCAGATTTTGAATTTACCTTTTCGCCGTAATAGTTGAACTCGAAGAGCGTGCTACCACCTTCCACTTGAGTTTGAACCATGCAAGGAGGTGTAACCTCCAGTAATCCCAAATCTTCATAGCTCTTTCTAAATGCTCGTAGAACAGATGCTCTAACTTTCAACACAGAGCTTGCTACGTCTCCACGAATGACTAGATGTCTATTATCGTATTTGGTTTGAGGATCAGCGTTCGGGGCTACAATATTGGAGATGGTATCATCCCCTCCGGGAGCTTTGCCGATAACTTGGAAGTAGTCAGCATGCAGCTCGTGGCCATCTGGAGCGTGATTTTCCTCTGGAACCGGTGAAATTACTCCGTAGATAGCAATAGTAGTCTCGACTGTCAGAGTAAGAGCGTCGTAAGTCTTGGTAAGATCCCCAGACAAAAGGCATTGCAAATATCCGGTACCGTCACGAAGTGTGATGAAAACCAGGCTCTTCTGGACCCTTAGGCGATGCACCCAGCCACGAACAACGACCCTCGCCTCGCGGCGCTTAACGGTATCCCTAAGTTTGATGGAAATAGCCTTAGGCTTAGAGGCATCTTCGACAATAATAACCTTCTTCGCTTGCTCCAATTGAGCACCCCTAGCAGCCTTCGCTTCCTGTTCTTTGATGCTCATTTCTGCCCTCTTGGCTTCCTTTTTGAGATTGGCCTGGTGAAGGTTGGCAGCTTTCTTCAAAGCTGCCTTAGCAACCGGGGCATATAGATGTGGAGTCTTGTCCTCGGGCCCAGTTGGTTTCTTGCGAATTTTGAATATCGCGTCAGGTTGTGACTTATATGTATGAGTCATAGCACCGATAAGAGTCTTGAAAGGCTGCCCCTCGGTTCCAGGAGTCTCCGCAGCGTCAACGCCGATATCTTCATCGATAAACACTATAAAAAAGGATCAGCTAGTCACTTCCAAGAACAACGAAAGACCAGGTTTGGATTTTAAAGTGCAAGGGGGCAACAAACAGGTATTGTCAGGCTCAGAGACCGAAAGATTAGCAGCAGAGGTTGCTAGCGTTTTTGCTTCCTCAGCCATTGGGGTTAGATTTTATTTTTTGAAGTGAAAGAAAAGTGTAGGTGGGGGTGCGAGGGGATGGCCACTGAGGGAGTTGGTTGAGAAAAGAGATAGAGGGGGTTGGTTGGGAAAGAAAGGCTTGAAGAGGATGGCTGCCCCACCAATTTTCCGAACATGACTGGTGTTGTACTGTGCAAGTACGGTACGAGTACTCCGTAGATACCCTTGTCTTGTATGTAAAGCCACTGCTGGCTTATCGGCGGAAATCAGCCGTTAATCCACGACAGGTTTAGTTTGATGGGTTAAGAGAATCTTGGATACTAATTAATGAGATCCAGTGGGCTGATCTTATACCGTGTCAGGAAAACGCTGGTCCCTCTCCGGAGCACACTAGTAAAGAATCCGGAGATTACAGGGCTCGCGGAGATAGCAGAATAGGGATAGTTTCTAGGCGCAAGAATGGGGACGGTTTCTTTGCTTAGTCAGCCACCCCACAAACATTTTGCACGAAATCTTTTTTTCCTTCCCTCTTACGGTCAACCCATGATACTATTACAGAAGCCTGGCTTGATCTTCTCCCAACCTTCCAACCTCCCAATCCAAAGACCCCCGGGACTGCTGCAACCTCATAACAATCATGCAGTTGGTAAGTTTCACTGAAGATCTGTTATCAGCATCCCCCCCCTAATTCTGAATTTTGCTAACTAGATTTCCTTTTCTCGCCCTACAGACTTGGAAAACAATCGCACCTGTTCCAACCTCTCAGGAGTTCTTGGACATTGTATTGTCCAGAACCCAGAGGAGGCTTCCAACACAGATCCGCGCTGGTTTCAAAATCAGCCGTATTAGAGGTTTGTTATTTTGTTGGATAAGATCTGACCTCGTGGCTGACTGGTTCTAGCCTTCTACCTGCGAAAGGTGAAATTCACTGAGCAGACTTTCTCTGAGAAACTTGGAGCAATTTTAGAATCGTTCCCAAGATTGGCTGATATCCATCCATTTCGTATGTTTACGAGTTCTTTTATTCCTCTTGTTAGGTAATTATTACCCAACGGTTGACTTCATTTCACAGACAGCGCTCTCATGAATACCTTATATGACGCCGACCATTTTAGAATCGCCCTTGGCCAGCTTTCAACTGCGAAACATCTTATCGAACAAATTGCTCGCGACTATGTTCGGTTAATCAAATATGCCCAATCTTTGTTCCAATGCAAACAGCTCAAGCGTGCTGCGCTAGGCCGTATGGCTACCATTACCAAGCGATTGAAGGGCTCTCTAGAGTACCTTGAGCAAGTTCGTCAGCATCTTGGCCGCTTGCCATCCATTGACCCAAATACCCGAACTCTCTTAATTTGCGGCTATCCAAATGTTGGGAAGTCCTCATTTTTGAAATCTGTTACCAGGGCGGATGTCGATGTTCAGCCATATGCCTTCACGACCAAGTCACTTTATGTTGGTCACTTCGATTACAAGTACTTGCGATTTCAGGCCATCGATACTCCTGGTATCCTAGATCATCCCCTCGAAGAAATGAACACAATTGAAATGCAGTCGATTACCGCTATCGCGCATCTACGCTCTGTAGTTTTATATTTCGTCGATTTGAGTGAACAGTGCGGGTACACTATCGAGGCCCAAGTCCAACTTTTCCACTCTATAAAGCCCCTCTTTGCGAACAAGATCGTTTTTCTTGTGGTCAACAAAATTGACGTCGTGAGGCCCGAAGACCTCGACCCCGCTAGACTGGAACTACTGGAGACAATTACCAAGTCTGGGGAGGTAGAAATGTTGAAATTGAGTTGCCATACGGAGGAGGGTGTTATGGATGTTAGGAATCAGGCTTGCGAGAGGCTACTGGCGTTGAGGGTAGAACAAAAGCTTAAGAACGTCATGAGCAGCGCTGTAGGAAAGGAGGTAACGGATATCCTCAACAGAATTCATGTTTCCAGACCAATTGGGGAATATTTGCAGCCATTTATTCCTGATGCCGCCCTTAACAGGAAGAGGTACAACAAAGGAGACCCTGAGAGGCGCAAGTTGGAGAGAGATATTGAAGCTGAAGAGGGGGGTGCTGGTGTCTACAACATTAATCTTAGGAGTGAGCATTTCTTTTACTCATTCTGCATCAAAACCGCGACTAACTAAAGGGGGCAGAGAACTACTTGCTGGAAAACCCTGATTGGAAAATGGATAAGATTCCCGAGATCTATGATGGCAAGAATGTTTACGATTTTATTGATCCTGATATCGAACAAAGGCTTGCAGAACTTGAGGCCGAGGAGGAGCAGCTTCAAGAGAGTGGATTTTACGACGAGCCTGAGGATATTGAGGATGAACAGGAGGCAGAGATCCGCACTAAGGCTGACTATATTCGTGAGCAGCAAGCGCTGATGCGTAACGCTGCTCGCTCTAAAAAGAGTACCAAGAACCGTGCCGTAATTCCCAGGAGTGCTGGTCAGGGGAAGAAACTCAGCGACATGGAGGCGCACCTTGACAAACTTGGTCTAGACTCTTCAAATATTGCTGCGAGAGCAAGATCGATATCCAGGGGGAGAGCAGCAGCACGCGCTGCGAAAGATGCAGATGCTATGGACCTTGATGGGGGTTCCACCTCCAAGAAGATGACACCCATTGAGCGTGCGAAGAGTCGGGCAAGGAGCATTAACAGGCGTGAAGATGGTATTGCCGACGAATCTGGAAGAACCAAGGCTGAGAAACTTGCCAAGTTGCAGCAGAAGCGGATGAACAGAATGGCTAGGCAGGGAGAAAGTGACAGGCACGTTAGCGCTAGCTTGCCTAAACACCTGGTATGTGTTTCAGTTCTTACTTTATCGTAGCCAGTGTGTTCCACATTTTACTGATTGTCGGACTAGTTCTCGGGAAAGCGTAGCATGGGCAAGACGCAAAGGCGTTAAACTCTGTTCTATGGCGTGGTGGGGTATTGGAAATGGCTTGTTCATATAAAATTTTGAATTCCGTTTCCTTTTTTTCTTTGTTTAAAGGTTTTATGATGCGGTTTTCATGTTGCATGGGATAAATTCCGTCAAAATTGTCAGGATGGAATGGTGTAATATAATAGTATCAAACCTAAGAGCGTAATTCCGATCTTGTCCACTAGCTCCTGTCGCTTCGATACTAGGCTGGAGAGGTTTCGTCTGGCAAATCCCTTTTACAAATCTCCTAGGCTCTAGGGTCGGAGCCTCCAACTGCTGGTGGCCAGCAGACGGTTGCAAAATGAGTGAGAAGTTGTGAAGATATGCGAGGTGTGTATGACTAAGAAGCTAATCTCACACGCACCGAACTTTCAGTCAAGCGACCAACAAAACTCGCCCCGCGGCACCCCCCACTTCCACAAAAAAAAAGGTCACTCTCGATACTTTTCTTCAACCTGCTATCTTCTATCAACGATGTCGTTACAAATTCCGTCCGCCCCTGGCAGTGGGCTCTTTAAACAAGGCTATCAATCGTCTGTTTCCCCCTCTGCCCAGACCTTTTCTTTCCTACACAGTTACTTACGGCGTCGTTTCGTGGGATAGGTATGCAAGTGAGGATGGAGCCGTCATCAGGAACATCGACGCCTGCCAGACAATCGCTTCGACTGTACAAACTTCTCTCGGGCCCTATGGCCGGAATAAGATTGTCATCAATCATCTGCAGAAAATGATCCTTACGTCTGATGCTGCAACGATTCTGCGGGAGTTGGAGGTTGTGCACCCTGCAGCTAAGCTAGTCGTTATGGCAAGCCAACAGCAGGAGGCGGAGGTATGAAGCTTTGTTCATACCTTCTCTATGGGACGTGGGACTAAGTAGGTTGATAGATGGGTGATGCTACAAATTTGGTTATTGTTCTTGCTGGGGAGTTCATGAAGATGGCAGAAGGATTGATCAGAATTGGATTGCATCCGTCGGAGATTGTTAATGGATATGAGAAGGCCCAAGAGTTTGCTTTGAAGACTTTAGAGGGTCAGCTTCCTCCGGGTCTGTAAGCGCTCGCGTAATTTACTGACATTCCCCTCTCGTTAGAACTTGTGGTTGATAGGATTGCGGATATCAAATCGGAGACCGGGCTCACAAAAGCTATTAGAACTGTTATCGCGTCAAAACAATACGGGAATGAGGATCTACTCGCCCCCCTGGTTGCTCAAGCTGTTCTTGCCGTTCTACCTAAAAACCCCATCAATTTCAATGTCGATAACATCCGAGTGGTCAAGATTATGGGTTCGTCACTCCCCCAGAGCCGTGTCGTGAAAGGAATGGTTTTCCCTCGGGAGCCAGAAGGTACAATCAAGAAGGCTCTAAAAGCTAAGGTTGCTGTATTTTCCTGCCCTATCGATATTTCCCAGACGGAGACCAAGGGGACTGTTCTAATCCACAATGCAAAAGAAATGTTGGATTTCACTAAGGGAGAGGAATCGCAATTGGAGACCATAATTAAGGAAATTCACGATTCAGGAATCAGGGTGGTGGTTGCTGGATCAACAGTTGGAGAATTAGCTATGCATTACCTCAGCCGGTATAGCGTTTTGGTCATCAAGATTCTTAGTAAGTTTGAGCTTAGACGGCTGTGTCGAGTTGTAGGCGCTACTCCGCTGGCTCGGCTGGGTGCCCCCATGCCAGATGAGATGGGAGCGGCCGATGTTGTAGAGACTGAAGAGATTGGTGGCGATCGAGTAACAGTTTTCCGGCAGGGTACGGAAGTCTGCATGTCCAACTGGGTATAATTACTAACTTGGGAATAGAAAATGAGGCAACCAGGACCGCTACAATTGTTATCCGAGGTGCTACCCAGAATCACCTTGATGATGTCGAGAGAGCTGTGGATGATGGTGTCAATGCTGTGAAGGCCATCTCCCGAGATCCCCGTCTGGTCCCCGGCGCAGGAGCTACAGAGATGCAGTTGATTGAGAGAATAGTTGCTCATGGAGAAAAGACGCCCGGCCTCCTCCAGCATGCTATCAGGAAGTATGGCGAGGCATTTGAGGTTATTCCTCGCACACTAGCCGAAAGCGCTGGCCTTGATGCTACTGAGGTCTTGAGTAAACTCTATGCCGCTCACCACAAGAGGGATTCCTGGACTGCCGGTGTGGATCTTGAGGTAAGTTTTCTAAATGTTTATTCAGTAGCTCATTTACTAACAATGGATAAAAGGACGAGAAGGGTACTGGGATTCTCGATGCTAAAGAATGCGGTATCCTTGATCTCTTTGTGGCCAAGAGCTCGGCCATCAAATTGGCAACTGAGGCCGCCCGCACAGTCCTTGCTGTAGATCAGATTATTGTTGCCAGGCAGGCCGGTGGGCCAAAACCTCCTGGGCCAAACCCTAACTGGGATGAGGACTAAATAGCAGACTCGAATAGCTAGATGTGTAACAAAAATCGGTAATCGAAATTCTTGGAATGTCGCATTTATACAGTATTATGATAGTTCATGTTTGCAGCTGCAGTGAGATCGTGATTTCTATAGTATTGGGTTGTATTTACAATCTTATCCGATCATACTCCGCTTTCTCCCCCTCATCCTGACATCTTGTAGTCTCCGCAAGACAACATTTGCTCCTTTGTAGCTCTGTTCATAGGACTTGAGGACGTCATGGAACAACTTCTCCGCTTTTGGATGCGTACTAGTGAATGCCCTCTCAAGAACATACAAATCGACAGCCTTATCCTCGTCCTGCGTAGACACAGTTCCAAGCCCAAAATCAACCAACACAACCTCCTTCTCTCCGAATCCCACAATCCCCTCACCCTCACCGTTCCGAACCATAATATTGCTGGTCGTCAAGTCCCCATGCACAATGTCGGCCGCATGCAAGGCCCCCACCGCTACGCCAACCTTAACCATCATTCGGTCAACCATTGCTTCCCCACCCTCCTGGGCAAGGACCTCATCCAGCACCTCCCGGACAGAACTCCCCGAAATCCACTCCATAAATATCTCCCCGCGACTCTCGTCGACAAAGTACACCGCCGGAACCGGGATCCTGAGGGAGCGGGCGCGGATCAAGAGGCGGGATTCGGAAAGACAGCGATGTTTTGTGAGGCGTGCATCGAGGGTTGGATGCCTGTATTGTTTCGACGGACGGTGTTTTAGCAGCGCAGGGATGTGTGGGAGGAGGTAGGTTGTGCGGTAGACTAGCGCTTCAGCTCCCTGTTTGATGAGGAATTTGGGAGTTGGGGGGTCGATTTCTGTTGAGCTCATTTCGGTGTTGGGGGAGCTTGCTGATTTCTTATTGCTTTGTTGATCTGTCTTCAAGGAGTGGGTGAAGTTGAACTTGTGTTGCTCGTCACGTGATACTTGGCTTGAGCGGTGCTTCTGTTTGTGTGTGTGTGGGATGTTTGTGTGAGTCAGAAGTGTTGGTGGCAGGCTCGGACGCTAGAGGTGCTGAACTCCCGTAGACTCAGAGGTACAGTAACAGCGCATACCGACCGGGTAGTCCCAGTCATACCTACAGGTAGTGTATTTATAAAAACCCGCTGGAAAGCATAAGCCCTTAGTGCCGGTCCATTTCTCGGGACCAGCGTTGCCCGCATCACTCACCATAATCCATTATCATACCCCCCAAAAAAACGAACCACGGCAAATAAACAAACCAACAAACGAGGAAACATTCCGAAGAGCAATGTCTTCCCTATCCTTCACACCCGTCGCGCTCTTTGGTGGTGCAATTAGAGCTACTGTACCGCTGTCCTTCAGAGATGCTGCGTAACCCCCCCCCCAATCCCCCCAATGTTAAGGACATTGCTAACAAACGATAATAAAAACAGCGACTTCCGTCAAGTCCCAGACACCCAGGAAGTCTATGTCTCTATGGAGGAAGGAATGGACATAAGCGTGGTGATCGACCTAAACCAACGGGTGCAAGCCCCAAGCGATCTAGAGGCTCTAGACATACACTTCCAAGACGTCGCTGACGACCAAGACCGCTCCTACGCTGCGGTGTCCAGAGAGACCATAACTCTTCCGAAAATGTAACCCCCCACTCCAACCTCTGTCCGATGGGAGAAGTTTGAGAAAAACTAATCGTTTTTGCACCCAGGGCGGACAAACCAGCCTACATGATAATCGGAACAATCTCTTCCCGGCCCAGTGATAACCCAGAGTACTTCATCGGGATATTAATGACGCTGGTACGATTGCCGCAGCAAACAACGGACATACTAATCACCGTTAATATCCCGTTTAACACCTCCGAGTTAGCCCAGGCGGAGAAGTACCTTGTATCCCCGCGGGCAGAGACTATAGGCGGGGGAGGGGAGAAGAGCCAGATGCTGAGGTTGGGTATGGCGGTTTTGGAAGGCGTGTTGCGAGAGTTCGAGGTTTTGGATTGGGGGCTTTTCTTAGAGGATGTGCCGGAGGAGGGGGAGTGGGAGGGGATGCGAGGGGATACTGAGATGGAGGGAGTGAGAGCTGCTTAGAGATATGAAAGGCGGTTGACGCGGGGACCGGATTGGGTAGGATTTGAACTCTGAAATGTGGAATCGAAAATCATGTATTTAGTTAGGGTTGATGAGAACTCAGTTAGGTATCTACAATTTAACGATGTAATTTATAACCGGCTGAATGGGTGTGCTTCTTTGACGTAGTTTCACCCGAAGTTGTTCCCCAACGGTTTTTGAGCCACAAGTTCGTTCTTCACAAAAGATCACTCGCGAGAGATGTTGAACTTAGTGTTGAAAATGGCAGTTAAGTACCCGTAGCTCAGACTGGAGGCTACAGTGGTGTGCGTACCTCTCAGATGAGGACGCGTAAGCAGTGAAAATTTTTCTCCTTATTTCTTCCTTATATTTCTTTCTCCTCCTTTCTTTTTTCTTCTTTTTCTTCTTAACAACAAGAACAATGAACTCCACTCCACACCTCTTGTATGAAACTCTCCTCACTCCTTATTCTCTACTCTTCACACACATACAATACAAGGTTCCCTCATTACCATTAGAGTCAACTCAGTCCACTGCGTAAAACCCACCTTTCAGTCATTACTGTTGCAACGACAACCGGTTTTATCCTGTCTATCGTCCTCAATTTCCAACACTTAGTGCTTATCCACCGTAGAGTGCTAGTTTTATTCCTATGTAGCTGGCTCCTTACACAACATTAATTTCATTCCTTTCTTTCCATTCCATTCTTAACGTTGACTCCACACCTTATTCAATTATGGTATATTTCTTTGCTTCTCCTTACCTTTCAGATTATGTTGTCATTGTCATTGTCATTGTTTTGTTTCTTGTTTGTGTTCCTCTCTTTGAGGATATAAATCTATGAGTCTATGTAATCAGGATTCGAGTTTCACTCCGTTTCTCTCTCAAAAATCCATTGGTAAGAGATATGCAAGGCGCGGCTTGCAGGCGCCTGCTTGGTCCTCCGAGATGATAGATGATCAAAGCTTCAGGTGCCCAATATGATGCTCTTCCCCTCCGACAGGTCTCATGGACCATCTAATATCTGGGAACCTCACGTATGTAAACGAACAACTCAATCTACAAACGCTCATACCACATTTACCTCTCAAGGGGCACCTCTACGTAACTACATTCTAGAACGGCTCACCGCTATATCTGCACTTACCGGATATCAAGACGACCCAGAAGCAATTATTCAGCTCTCCAAATACCACCTATCGCATCTCACACTGCCCAGATCAAATTCCCACAAAACTGCATACCTATCCCCCAAAATTCCCTAACCACGGGTCCGAAAAAAAAAAAAGGGAAAAGAATATTTTTATTTCAGCGATCGAGTGTCAGCCCCTCGACCCCAGGCGAATACGAATGGCTAGAAAATACTAAAGGATAGAAAAGAGTGGGTATGTGATAGAAAAAAGAAACTAGTAAAGTTGTGGATATGGTTAGCCAGATAACCGGCAAAAGAAATACCATCCCGCCGCCCGTCACTAACAAATGCGTAAGGTTGTGGTCTACTCACCCTCCTCATACCTCCCCTTCTTAGCACTCTCACCTTCACTCCAAGGAATATCACCAATCTCCCTTTTTCTCTTCTTATAAACGCCCCCCCTATTCTCTTCTTCCTCCTCAACCCCACCAACAATACCCCTAACCTGCCTCCAGACCCTAACCCAGAACCCACTCCTCCTCACCAACCCTTCGGCATCAGCATCCATCCAAACACCCTTACCTCTCCCCTCTTTCTTCAAATACAGATACTGATTCATGTCCCCCCTCTCCAGCAGGAGATGCAATCCCCACTCGATCCCCGCTAAGCTCTTGCAGACTTCTGCGCTAAAGCGGTCTGGATTGAGGTTTAGGGCGTGGACGCGGGAGAGGATGGAGCGCAGGTTCGCTATGTGCGTTTGTGCTTTTGTGTATGAAGGGGTGCAGCGGCGGGGCGGGGTGGGGGTGCTGGGGAGAGTGGTGCTGGGGAGAGTGGTGCTGGTGGTGGAGATTCTGTTGGGGCTGGAGGTTGGGGTGGGTGTACGGGTTGGACTCTCGATAATGGAAGCCCGGAGGCGACACCGGAAGCGGGAATTGCTGGTCGGGGGTCGTTTGCTGCCCGGAGTTCGCCCAATAGGGCTGAAGACACGACGGCGGAGCGCTTGGGGGGTAAATGGGCGGAGGACCCGGACTGGGTGGGGAGTCATGGGAATTTCGGGAGTGGTTAGGAGTGTGGGGGTTTCGGGCATTGGGGAAGTGCGAGGGGGGACTGAGGTGGACATTGTGGTCGTTGGTGCGGTGTTATTTTTTGGGGATTATTGCAGTGGTTTCGATTTCGGTTCTCTGTGTCTCGTGATTCTCCTGTGTTGTGGGCCGGTCTGGTAGATTTATTAGAAATGCTACAAGCGGCATGAAATTGACTTGAAAGCATTCGAGAGCTCCTGGGACCGCGAGTGATTAGATATGTTTTGGGGGAGGGATAGAGGAAGCTTGAATAGGACATTAGTTCTCGAAAATCACTGACTAGCCTAGGGCTATGGTAGGATGTCTAGGTCTTGAAATCTAAAAATGTTATTGGTTATGAAGTCTCGAATATTGGGGCAAACAAAGCCCCGCCACCGAAAATGACCATTGATGCAAGCTGAAAGTTGCTGACTAATTTCGACTACCGCTAAAATTCAAGACACAAGCTGGCAGTTGTTTTGAATTTTCCCCGCCGCTCACTATGAGAACTGGATAAATTTATAAATTCACTTCATTTCTGGAGACCACATGTATCCTGGATCCTTGGATGATGGGTAGTTGTTTCTCAATTCAAGCTATTCATCTCGAGTCCATGACTCTCACGTAGATCTAGAACAAAAGCCCGCCAAGCAGCACCAGCGACAAGAACCCACAAGACACATTAGTAGGAAACCTTATTTATATAGCCCAAGGGAGAAAACATTTTATTTGGCGAGGCAAGTGTCTATCGAAAGTCCTCCGCTCCGTATCCGTAGTTTACATACTGCGCCGTCCTGATCAGCAAAGACCTTAAAGCTAAAGAGCACATGGAATGAACGCATACCGTTCGACAGGGGTAAGGCCCAGCAGCCTCATTCCATTGTTTAGAACTTGTCGTGCACTCTCATATAATGCCATCCTTGCAGCTGACAACCTGGGCTCCTCTCCAATAACCCTCAAAACATCATAGCTAGAACTTAGCAAATGTGTCATCTTGAAAAGATAGGTGACAACCGTGGTAGGCTCCAGGGTCTTGAGTGTGTTTTGGAGAACGTCAGGATACTGCGCAAGGCATCTGATGAGATTGATTGCGTGGTCCTCCGTAAGGAGAGAAAAGTCCGCGTTAAGGAGCTCCGGAATGGGAATGCCTGACTTGCGCTGGATGGAGCAAAGGCGGGAATGCGCGTATTGAAGATAAGGACCGGTATCACCCTCAAAGGAAGTCATCCTCGCCATATCGAAAGTGTAGTTGTTGATCCTATCATGTGTCAATTTAGTCGGGCTCTATGGATAAGAGACTTCGTAAGCCACCAACCGCTTGCCAGACATGTCCTGAATCATGACGGCGGTACGTCCGACTACATCAGCAACCATTTCAGGATCTTCGACTTGCTTGTACTTTTCTTCGTTTTTCCTCATAACTTCATGCATCTTATCCCTAGCATCCGCAAGAATATCATCCAAGAATACGACAGTTCCCCTCCTGGAGCTCATGCCCAATACCATACCAAAATTAACGTGTGTCAGTCTATCAGCCCAATCAAGTTTCAACAGTTTTAATATCATGAACAGTTGTTGTAAGTGAAGGTCTTGCTGGCAGGCCACAACGTAGATCATCTTGTCGAACTTGTACTTTTCGTAACGCTCCATGGCAGCCCCGATATCTCTGGTAAGATAGAGGGTTGTACCATCCTTCTTTTGAACGACCGCCTTTCCAAGCTTCTTGGCGTGTGGCTTGAAATCAACCACAATGGCGCCATCAGACTCAGAAGAAATGCCCATCTCTCTCATCATCTCTCCCGCCCTTTCCATGCTCTCCTTCGAGACCTGGGACTCTCCGGAGTAAACATCATAGGAAATGTTAAGCCGGGAGTAAGTTGCCTTGTACTTCTCGATGCTCAGTTCTCTGAACCGTTTCCACATGGCTATGCATTCCTCAGAACCTTTTTTTAAAAAAGCAAAAAAAGCAGGTTAGCCTTGCTCAGTGATCGCTCATGACAGAACCTACCGTGTTCCATTTTGAAGAAGAACTCCAGAGCTTCCTGGTCGGTTGGTCCATTGCTGATCTATAATTCATGTCCCTTAGTTCCCCCATACTAAATTGCTTTTAAAAGTAACCAATAAGCAGTACGAAGTCCGGGACAAACCTGCTTTTCACCCTTTTCTGCCGCCTTATTCTTTTCAGCCTCCTTCTCCTGCTCCACAACTTTGTTAATCGCTACGTACACCTCGAAGAGGTGGTTGATGGGGTCCTCTAGTAGTTTTTCCTCGGAACCGAATCGCTTGTAACCGACACCGAGAATTCCTATAAGAGCTTAGTTGACTGAGCTAGTCACAAGGGCTGTCACCCAGAAAAATAACAAGTCCTGAATTTCACTAGGAAGGAATTGTAAAATAGAACATGCATCCATCGCACAAGCTCTGGGCATACATATCCAAAGGGATTTCATACCAAATTGTTTCCCCCAATCTCCAAGGTAGTTCATTCTAATAACATCCCAACCGCAGCTCTCATAAAGGTTTGACAAGAAACCACCGATAATGGTACTCCTGAGATGTCCGGCATGGAAAGGTTTGGCGATATTGGGGCTTGAGAACTCAACGATAACACGTTTGCCTTTCCCAGTATCAATGGGACCATAGGCGCTCTTCCTGCTGAGGATTGAACTAAGAACAAGCTTTGAGAGCACATCTTTCTTGAAATAGAACTGAAGGAAAGTCCCAGCAGCTGTAGGGGAACGAACATAAGGGTTTTCGGGGAACTTGAAAACCAGAAAAGTATTAACATGCTTGTCCATACAAACGAAGAGGGCCAGCAGAAGATCAAACACGATCCGAATTCGGAACCTATCTTTAGCGTACCTTCTCTGCCCACTCCTTAGTGAGCTCGCTCGGGTTTTTCCCTGGGATCCTCAACCTTGGGGCAGCAAGAATCAAATCACCCTTCTCGAGGTTCTGCGTCCACTCTAGCGCCGGGTAAACTAGCTCGAGCTCGACACCAGTAATTGGGGCCAAAACATGGGCAATATAGCATCGGTAGACATCAACCGGGTTTGTAGTAGGGTTAGAGCCGGGGAACGGAGTAAGAGGTTCGGAGATTCCACAATTGTTAAGCTGTTTGTTGAGCGACTCAAGAGAAGGGGAAGGAGGAACTCCTGTAATGGGACCGGTCGTGGACTCAGTGGCCATGGGTCTATTTCTGATAAGTGTTTCTAGGAATCGCTGCTTGGCAATGGCTATTGGTCGGGGTGTTATTGAGTGAAAAAGTCCGGAGGTTTGATAGGGAGGGGCAGGATGCGGGGCAAATGAAGGAAGGGAACAACTGAGAGAGTGAAGCGAGAGAAGTGAGATGGCCCTTGGTTTGTTCCAGTAGTGACTCACTCTCCGTAAGAAATCTGCCCTCGGAAGATACGGGTGGGGATGAAACATCCAAATCCTCCCTAAGACAATTTTTCCTGCCTTGTCCCTTGAGATTTTTGATTTTTTGTTTGATTTGAGAAGGTGTGATACCCGCGCTGAGGCTGATTGCCTTGTTTTGTTTCGTTCAGCGCATCAGAGAACCCTGCCGGGATAGGCCGGGTAAATGGTCCGGTCTTAGAGCTATTGAAGCAAGCGGGTAATTGGGGTAGTGAGAGATTAGGAGGGTTAGGTCCTGTATCTATGGGGTGTTCGCTCCATAGAATTTCATGTTACAGAAGGGGGTGAGGCTTGGCGGGAAAATTTGTCCGCTTAAGCACTCCTGGCCTTCCTACCTTAGGTTAGTCAAAGCCACCTGCAGAGAACAATGCAATAGACAACGCTTCCACCTTTGCTCAATTGGGTCCACTCTTGTGTTCTTTTCTTGTCTCTTCTTTCCTAGTACTACAACATACTAGTGTGTCTATCCCTTGTGACACTATCCTATGGTTTAATAGGAGGTTACAATCACGATAATTCATGAGTTGAACTATGCCATTATCTCACGGTTCCTTGAGATGTCGCACAAAAAACTCTTTCACAATTGGTGCTCTGAAATGCATTTTTTCTGATTGCTACATTAAAAGAGACCCACTCTTGTCATCGTGCCTGTCAATTAATACATTTTCCTTTTCCCTTGACCTGCTTATTTGACCACTTATTGTCCACTTGTCAGTCCTACCATTGTAGTCTAAATGAACTCAGTCATCTTGGAACCGCTATTGCCATACAGTAGTGAGCTTCCTGAGAGTAGTGACTATATTCCTAAGTACTTGAACCCTGTGTACTACACAAGAAAAGTTAGTACTCATAGAACTCTTGAGCAGATAAGGGCCTAGCAGATTGTTGACACTTTGTTGTAACTGTGACTCCCTCTGGGAAGATGGATCCCATGGTTGCGACCGCACCAAGATGAATTCTTCTGGGAACAAATATTATAAAATTTCAAAGTCTTAGCAGTAGACTTTGAGGAAACAAAATGGTAAAACTTGATATCTTTAAGCCACTGCTTTAATCAATTAAGTTCTGATCTCAAGAGGTAGTTGATTATCTGACTAGAGGAGAACATGCATATACTTAAGCAGATTTCATATACTGCCAGTTGCTTCCTATCACTACTCTGCATTTGAGAGCATCTAACTCCCTTGGGCTGTTTAGTTAACCTCTACGGGTGGGACCAAAGATTCTCTATAGGAATTAGACTACTCTGTGGTTTACTAATGTTGACCTGACAGAAGTGTTTTAGCTACTGCATTTACAATGGAACTGCAGGAGTAAAATCTCTTCTTACTATGGACATGTCAGTGACAAGCTGCCATGCCTAAGCAGAAGTAATACCAACTATGGAACTTTTTACCCATATAGACTTAGTCTTATACAAGCATCGGCAGCCCCAGAACATCTATCTGGTTCTACTCTATTCCATATTATTCTAGGTAATGGCTAAGTAGCTCTCCTGATAGACCCCTTTGGAGGTTGATTACTAATAGGTGCTACCTACAGTCAACCCTGCTAGAAGTAGGTCTCATTATGATCTCAGACTAGTGTTTTCAAGCCCTTAAAAATTTTCTAATACTATTACACTTTCGGGGAAACAGACTTTAGTTACCATGTCTCTTGGGCTAATCTTACATACAACTTCTAACTTCAAAGTAATATTACTCTATTAGTTCTCGTCCATTTTGCATAAAACTACCTGGAAACCATTCTCCATATTCTCTGCTGCCTTCTTATATATCCTGTGGACAGCCTTCAGTCGACTGGCTGGCATGAATGTATACAGTGTTACAGGTGTGTCTTCACTTGTAGACTTCGACTAAACTTATAGTAACTCTCCAGGTTGTAGCCCATGATACTAGGAACTTATACAGAGATTAGAGAGAGTGTTAGCCACTACATCTCCAAGTTACAGCTTATTCAGAGCTCAACTGGTAGTGTGGAAGTGAATTGTAAAACTTGAGATTTGAATGCTTTATATAGTTTCATATGACAAACAATCTAGTAATATTTCCTGAAGCTTTGCATGACATGTTACTTCTAAGATAGGGTAATTTGGCTCCATAGTATAGTAACCTAGGGTTCAAGGTAGGGTAATTCGGGTCTAAAAGTAGGATAACTCTATTTGGACTCACTGTCAAACAATTTAGAAAAACTTACAAATTGACTACTTGGATTATCCTATCCAGTAGGGCAATCAGCGTTCCATATTAGTCATATATGTACTAAGCAGTTAATCAGATCTGCATAATTAGTTTGATCTCCTGGAACAATCTGATGATCAGATATCTCCTGATTATAAGTACTATTCTAGGATTTTCTATTACAACCACATACTATACCTACAATGCCTTGATTCAATGATAATAATACACTCTACTGTATGGTAGAAGAGTAGCTAGTATCCATGTACTTTTTAGTATGATATAGCATATCTGACTAAGGTACCTAATTAACAGTACTTTTACTTAGTAGACTCTGGTCTACTGCCATTCCTACTGTAATAGTCTCTTGACACTAGTATGTGTATAGGTTTGGCTAACTGTAATAGTACTTTGTAGAGTCTCATTACATTTGTACTATCAAAGAAATGGGTATTGGTACAAAATTCCATAGTGCATTGTACAGAATACCACCAAGGAAGACTGTCGTCAGTTTCGCCTACCATTGGAAAGTGAGTTTGTACCTCTAGAGTTTTTCAAAAACATATCACCACCTCTGTTAAGTGATTTGAGCAGTTGTTCAGAGTTCTTCTATAAACTGAGAATCATGGGTCTTTCACCCTCTTTAGGTATTAAGTTTACTAGTGAGAATACTGTGTATGTTAAGATATCTTTAGGATGAATGAAAACCTCGTTGGCCACCTTAGGTGATGATTATGATAGCAGGTCAGAGTTATCCAAGAGATTGAGACCTGCTTAGATCTGGATAGCATGTCTAGTTGAGTCTGAGGTAGGTGTCTTAATTAGTTAGTTACCTGAGGAGATTCAATAGATTGAGGAGAGTGTTAGAAATAGCTGCTCGCCATGCCAACAGCTTTCACAACTACCATGACTACAACTACTATGACTACTAGCCAACATACTCAGAACCTATCAGATATGTTTGCAACAGGTATGACATGTTCCAAGAACGCTCAGCAAGCTGTTCATACCACTACTTACTAATAATCTACCTATCTGTCTATTCGTCCCTCCACCTATCTATCATTCCATTAATTGATTTGTTTGTTTGTTTGTTTCTGTATGTTTATCTCCCTCTGCCACTTTCTTTGTTGTGGTAAACATTCTCATTATGTGTTTTCGGTGGGGAAGGATATGAATGTTAGAGGGGTTGGGCTGTCGGGAGTCAAGGTCTTTATTCGTATATTTCCTTTGATAGCATTTGAAGTAGGATGAGTGTGGAAAGTAGTAAGGTAGTGCAAGAGGTAGCAGGAAGCATGAGATATAGCGGGTGAGTATGGAAGAAAGCAAGATAGTGCAGGAGAATAGTATGGAGTCTTTAAGTAGTTTGTTGTTTGTTTTCTCTTTTGTTAGCATGCGAGCATGTGAGAGGGTATGGAGTGGGGAATGGAAGAGATAATACTAGGAGAAAGAGAGGAAAGGAAGGATAGCAGATTGTTGTCGTTTATTTAAACCCCTATCTTTTCCTGTTAGTTTAGTTAGTATTACGGAAAAGAGCAAGTTGAGCAAGTGAGTTGATGAGTAGGTTGTTAGGGAGAGAGAGAATCAGAGAGAGAAAGCTTTTCATAGACCTCTTTAATTGACTGCTGCTTGAAAGTCTTGGCGTTCTGTTATGGCCAAGTGATAGCCTATAATGGTGGACCTACTCTCCTCCCATAACAGTGATTGTTAATTTACTACTCTGGACTTCTATTATTTTTATTAGAAAGGTTGTATAATGTCTTGATAGAATAGTATCATAACTGGAATCTCGATAGCCAAGCACAGGAAGATATTCTATGAATCATGAATGGTATTGAACAGGGTAATCATGATGTATTTGTCTATTCTCGTAAAGTCTTGAAGATTGTTCACTGCAAGTACTCCTGTCTTCAGCAGTATAACAAAATCTTGACTTATTATTACATCAATGAACTTACTAGTAGGTGATGGTCGTATCCGGTCATTGTATCGATGTTGCTATAAGCGAGCCG